ACACACACACCAGCGCTTGCGCACACGCACAAACACGTGAGCCACCGTTGAGTTCACAGTTACAGTAAAGCACTAGCCTTTGCAAGAAGAGTTACAAAGACATATATCTAACAACTGGTCCAGGCGCAAATTGAAAGTGTGTGTGAATGGAAAGGGGAGAAAAAGGGGGTAGGGAGAAGGGAGGAGGAGCTATTGCCTTGTTATAAACGACTGAGAATTTTCAAGTCTTTTGTCACATTGTCCCGGTTGTCTTGGAAACGCGAATGGCTAGCTACGTGCGAGGTCCTCGGATGTTGAGACTCGGCGATACCGCAGTGGGAGACGAGTCGATAGTGCTCTCGCTCTCCATCCATGACCCAGTCTGTTTGTTGACAGTGGCGGTGCGTGCGTAATAACTCCACCGGCTGGGCTGCCGTCTTCTTTACCAGGTTGTCAGTACCTCCGAGACAGTACTCTCAAGCTTTAGTTGAATAAGGACAGGTATTGTCGGGCTTTCCCCCCCCGCTCTTATATTTAAAAAAAAAAGTGTTTTAGATGCCCTTACACAAAAGGAAATCATATACCTTCTGAAGGTATATGTGGAGTTGATGCGCCTATATTTTTTACAGTCGTGATTCTTGTCATTTTCTCCATTTTTTTTAAAATCAGTAATTTTTTGCTTTATCCTGGACTTAAGGGGCACTTTTAAACTTTTTTCTGATTTTCCTTTTCTCCTATTATTATACCTCAATACTTTTGCCCTGGGTTTGTTTGATCTTTCAATTCAATGTGAGAACTTTTGCCAGGGGCCCTTGCAAACTATTTACAGTCATTTCGTATTCAAAGTCCTTTCAGAAGTCGTGATGCTCTACATCAGATCAGTAAAGCTGTTAGAAAATGAATATCAGTGTTTTCATGTATGCTTTTTTCCCCCCATTCAGATATATATAACTGCTCAGTGCTTTGGACCTTTCCTTGATAACAATGGAGGAAAATGATACAAAGAGCCATGTTAGTGTTCACTGGTTTCGACATGGTCTCCGTCTGCACGATAACCCAGCCCTACTAGACAGCTTGGAGAACTGTCGAGAGTTCTATCCAGTTTTCATATTGGATGGAAATGTTGCAGGTTTGTGTTTATTTATCAGAATTTTGTATGAAATGATTTTATTTGCTTTTGTAGTTGTGATGTGAAGTAAGAAGCCTACACAATGGTCTGATTAGGGAAGACATGTTGTTTTTTTTTAACACTTGCCTGATAACTTAACAACCAATGATGCTGGAATACTATGTTTTCCTTGTGCTTTTTTTTTCCTCGTGCAAGTTCTAATTTTACTTTAAAAGACCAAGAACTACCCATCTCATTATGGCCACAGACTCCCAGAGCATCCTGCGAAGGATTGAGAAAGGGCTGCTTCGGAGTGAATGGATGAACCCAATACAATACTATTATACTCATCACTTAAAGCCATCATGTGGATATTCTGTCCTGGGCACTCTGGAGGAAAGGGTATTGAGGAGGCTGATAGGCTGGCAGGCAGGGCCATGGTTGATGGTGAGGTGAAATTTGACAAAGGAGAAGTGTTGAGGACCTTCGAGGAAAAGTTGCGGGGTGAGGAAGACAGGGAGACAGCAGAACACCACGCAATCATTAGGATGCTGGAAATGGGGATAGAGAGGGGAGAAGGACGAAAGGAACGATTATTTGGAAAGGAAAGACGTCGCCATAATCAAACAGGCACTGGAACAATCAGTATGCATAGATACTTTGCTGGCTTTGGTGCAGAGAGGAACTGAGCACTTATGGACCTGTCTGATGTGCAATGACGTGGTTGCCCAGGACAGGTAATACAGGTATATTGGAATTTAGCAGTGTTGCTTCTTGACTAAACCCCAAGAATATACTTTCAAAGGATCACAGCTGTGGAGACTTTAGTAAAACCATTGCAAAGGATCACATGAGGTATAACATGAAGCATATGAGAGACTTGTCAAAATCTCTTGGACCCAGTGGTCTCTTTCAAAGAAGATTTGCCTGGAAGACACAAGAGTCTGTGTAAGAAGAAAGAACCTGCCACAAGTGACACTGTAGTAACTGCTGAAAGATGATCAGGAGTTCAGAAGAAGGGATGATGTGGTATTGGCTACTGGAGACTAGAGAATAAAGGAATTCCAACATGTTTTATGTTATTACTTTGTTCATTCTGTGAACACATATAATCAAAAGCAAAAATGAATAGATTGGAATTTGTGTGCTGTTTTGGGTTGCAGATAATTAACAGTATAAAAAGTCTGACCCAAAAAGGAACCCAAAGTATTTGATAACCCTTACTAAGGTGAAAAGCTAACAATTTGATCATATGTGTATTCCCCCCACCACCACCTCCCTCCCTCTCATACAATCACTGTTTATTATGACTTGAAGTAGTCTTTAAAAATTGATAAACTATTGTATTCTCCATTTACTCATCAGGTATTAGCTCAGCAGCGTTTCCTCGCATGCAGTTTCTATTTGAGACTCTACAAGATTTGGATGACAACCTCAGGTCCCATGGGTCTCGCTTGTTTGTACTGAGAGGGAAACCAGTGGATGTTTTTGCAAAAATGTTTGAGGTGAACATGATCTATTTTTTTCAGTGAGTGATAACCATTTTGAGTGTGTGTGTGTGGGGGGGGGGGGGGGGTCAGATTTTTTTCTTCTTTTGTTTTTGGGTTTTGGTAATGTCAGAATCTGAGTTCATTCATATGTGAATGAAACTGCCAGTGCTTTGCCTTCAGTTTAGTTTAGTTTTAGTAAGAGTTTTTCAACTCTTGGAACCCAAATAGGTCATATAAATGCCAAAAATTAGAGGTGGGGTGTTGATAGAGAGTGATATAAAAAGAAAAAGAGGAGAGTTTGGATTGTAGATGTTCGATAGATGAAGGAGCAAACAGCCTCAGAGCACCTGCCAACGTCCTACAGTGCTTTATGTAGAGGTGATTAAAAAATTGGATGCTAAAGCACATTTTGACTTGTGTTTCTAATGTGAGTGCAGTCTTCTTCAGAAGGAGTTTGGATTGCAATTTTTCACTTAACTTTAACTAATACAAATTTGTTCACTTTCATGCACAGACATCTGTAATAGTAAAGCACTGTTTAGTATGTGTGCTCCAAGTGTAGCTTTTTAAAAAAGTTGAAGTCGTGTAAAGGTGTCTGAATTGTTATTGTTTTACTCCCGTTTGCCTTCTGTTTAGGTGTAGACAAGGTTTTTTCCTAATTTACGCATGTAATTGAACTACAGTTCATATTTAGTCTGTAAAAATAATGGTACATCTGGAATTTGTTTTTTCATTGATCAATCATGTGACTTATTTTGTTACCAAAAGTTGTTGCACTTTAGAGATATTGTATTCTTATAGACTATTATTGCTGCCATAAGTTGCTGCACTGTAGAGATTTTGTAGTCTTTAGACTGTTATTGCTTGAAATATCCTTTTTCTCATTGATGAGTCTTTCAAGGTTTCTCCACTGTGACTAAGTTATGCACTCAAATTTTAGTTTACATAAGTGTCCATGAATGTTTGGTCATTATAACACTGTTTTGTGTCTTCCCCAATTCTGTTAAGTTGAATGGACCATATATATCATAAGATATGTGTATACTGATTTCTCAATAACCTTGTTTCTTAATGAACAAGCAAGTTTTTAACAGTGTTAACCTCCATGTTTTACTTTATTCATACTTGTTTTATCTCAAGGAATGGGGCGTTACCCGTTTGACGTTTGAGCAGGACCCGGAACCGGTTTGGCAAGAGCGGGACAATAGTGTCAAAGCACTGTGTGACAAGCAAAATGTTGAATGGATCGAACGAGTCAGCCACATGCTCTGGGAACCACGCTTGTAAGAATAAACATTTTTTTAAAAATTTGATCTATAAAAATGATGTTGGGGTTGCAGGTTTATGCTAAAACCGCTTTGTGGTTGAATTTTCTGCTTTGTTGCTTTACTTTCTTTTTTTTCTATATACTTCTACTCACAGGCTAAAAGATCAAAATTCAAGTTGCCTTTTTCTTTTTTTCATTTTTTTTTTTTTTCCATTTTTAAGGTGATGTGAGTCAGTAATTTTTAAGTTTGAATAAGCAGCATGCTGTTGGAAAAAGTAGATTGTATAACCCAATGATACTTCAGCTTATTTGTACATAGGCTGTGTACTTCTATGGTCTATTAAAAGTAAAATTGTAGGTTTTGTTTCCTTCCCTTTGAATGTTTTCCTGAAATTGATTTGTTTTAATGTTGATTCTGTCCTTCAGAATATTGGAAGAAAATGGAGGTGAGCCTCCTTTGACCTATGCTATGTTCAATCAAGTGGCACAAGTAGTAGGTCCGCCTCCAAAGCCAGTAGGTGATCCAGATTTCTCTGGCATAAGTCTACCTTGTAGAAAGGATGATGAGGAAAGCTACAAGCTCCCTTCTTTGGAGGAGATAGGTAAGCCGGTGTTCTGAAGGGAAATGTTTTATGTTGTCATACTGTTAATGTCCATATCTTCATTTATGACCCAGGGGACATAGAATAGTCATAAAGATCAAGTCTCAATTTTTGTTGTTTCAAGGCAACTAGCAGATCTCTGGCTGGTTTTCTTTCTATTGCTTTCCTTTCTGACATGTTGCGAATTAAGGAAAATCATGAGCAGGGGAGTTTTTTAGTTAAATACATGGTCAAAGTTGCCTGCAGTATTGCAGTCTTTGCTCCTGGGAAACTTAAAGAAATCTTGCATAGACTTTAGTGCCTGCTGAGGTCATAAGGTTTTTTTTATAGAGAAGAGAAAAGAAAAAGAAGAAAACTACTTTCGTTTTAGCGTGTAATGTAAAGTTACTAAAGAGCGTTGCTTCGTGTTGTGTTATGACTTTGAAAGGTATGTAATTATTCTTGTACTGTACCTGACATAGACATTTGGTCATTCACTTTCAGGAGCATAGAAATTGTTTCTTACAGCTGTAGAGTTTTCCAAATCTCTTGAGTTGATGGAAACATTGTTATTTTGTTTGTAAATGTTGTAATTGTGTTTTTCGTTTCTTTTTTCCTTTTTCTTTTTTTGGGTGTGGTGGGGTGGGAGGGAGTATGTTTTTGAGCCTTCTGCAGATTTTTTTTTCTTGGGCTTAAAGTACATTTCAAGGCTTTCCTTAGTTTCTTCCACTTTCTTTACAGTGTTAAATAGCCTTGTATTGTGATTGTTAACTGTGCTTCAAATTTTTTTAGACTAAACATCCTTTTTGTATTTATGATTTAAGACATTCGACCTGAGTCTGAGGAACAAGCAAGTCCTTTTGGAAGATATCTTGGTGGAGAGACGAAAGCCCTCAAGCTGCTCAGTTCTCGCTTAGAGAAGGAACATGAGGTATGGTTTTTTTTCTTGGTTGTGGAGGAGGTAGTGACAATCTTTGTTTAGTATATATACTTTTTTAAAGCGATGAAATGTTTTAGTTTTAGTAGAAGTTTCACGGTGCTCGCAACTGCAAAAAATCATATGAGCGCCAGAAGATTAGAACTGTTACAAGAGAGTAACAAAACAAAAAAGAAGAAGGGGAGATAAGGACGATAGATGTTTGACAGGAAAGAAGAAACAAACCACACAAGAGCACCTGCCAACCACCCACGATGAAATGTTTAACTAATTGTGTCTTTTCCACTTTTTTTCCAAATTCAAACAAATCAGTAGATTTTATTTTTATGTTCCGACATTTATGTTTTAACATTATTGGTCTACTCTTGGATGTCAAAGTTGAATTTTAATATTTTAGGAAAAATGTTGAGTTTGTTTTAAAAAGCGTTTGAACTTGTGTGTAGTGGTTCTTTTGTGTGTTAAACCTAACAAAATATAATAAATACAGTTATATAATATGTTTGACCATATGAGAGACCTGCTGTGAGAATGGTCCGTGCTATTGTACATCGGCAAAGGCAAAAGAGGTTAATATCATATGTTTGTAGAGTGGTATGTGATAAATATTGGCATGTTGTTGTTCGTCATACTTTGATTTGAGTGTGATGCATGTTTTCTTCAGGCTTTCAGCATTGGTCAGTGTCTTCCCACTCAGCTGAATCCAAACTTGATCGGCATGCCCATGAGCCTGTCACCTCACCTGCGCTTTGGCAGTTTGTCGGTTAGGAAGTTTTACTGGTCACTCAGGGATACATTTTCTCAGGTATTGATAATCTTTATTTAAAATTAAACCTTACAACAGCGGGCTATTTTTAGCTCTCACTTCCCTCTGGCGCAGGTAATACTGGAGTCCTTGGCTTCTCAGGTGCAAAGATTGAAAAATTTCTATACTGATTTTGTTTGAAGTTTTAGAAGTTAACATGTAAAATATTTTTCAGAGATTGATTACAGTAAAAATGCACAACTGGGTTTGAGGTGGCTGCTTCCCTGTGAGGGTTAAATATGCGACCGGTTTTGGGGGGAAAGAGAACTGGCCATGGAAATGTATGCAACTGGGGCTGTAATGGATAGCGTTTGGATGAAACATTTATGACTTTTGTATCTCATGCTTTGTTCTTTATTCCTTCTTCTTTTGCCATTTCTGTCAATTGTATGTGTGTGTGATGTTGAGTGTATTGCAGTTATGGAAACTTTTTTCTCCTTGCTGTTTTATTATTGGTATTCTTAATAATGTTTGTTGAAGTCAAACATGCTTTTTTTTATTCACCTTGAAACCTATTAATAATTTTCCCATGACCTTGTCTGATTTTTACCAGACAGAAAACTCTGTAAGTGGGAGCAAAATAAAAAAGCAGGTTTAATTGATTGCAGAATGAATATCTGTGTGGAAACGGTATTTCAAGTACTCATTCTATGCTGATGCATCTGTGTTTTGTTATAGCTGTTTCCTGATCGCCCAGTACCAGGCTCTATTACCAGTCAACTCGTTTGGAGAGAGTACTTCTACTGCATGTCAGTGAACAATCCAATGTACAATCGCATGAAGGAAAACCCAATCTGTCTTGATATTGATTGGTATGATGATGAACAGAAATTTGAGAAATGGAAGAAGGTATGACACTCAATTGTTTTTTTCTTTATCGAGTTCAACTGTTGATATTGGCTCTTTTTTTAATGTCCATAATATGTAAAAATTTTTGCATCATACAAGTTCCTGTGCCTATGCGTTGTTCCCTGCCGTTTTGTGTACTGTGCATATCCAGAGAAGAATGTTAATTGAAGCTGTCAGCTGTTATTAGTTGCTTCGTCAGGATGATGTAACATTGTTTAAAAAAAATTGTTTTAGATGTGATATTATAAAGAAAGAAAGACAATCTCTTGAAAAATAGTCTGCATAGAAAAGTCACATTTATTAATATTATATTTGGTAAAATCTGTAAAGAAGGGTATTACAAGTGATGAAAATAGGTCTTCCCTGTCACAAAAGTATGTCCTCTCATTTCATAGTTAACTGAGAAGTATGGACTTCTGGCAGTTGAAGTTACATTGCTCTTTAAAGAGAAAAAAGTTGCAGCGTATTGTTCAGTTGCTAATTTGTGATTTTTTTGCTTTTTTTTTGCTTTTAAATATCCTTTGCAGAAACAGCCTGCTAAGTGTTTTGTTCTTTTGCTTTTTTCAGCTTTACTGAGGAGCAATACTGTTACTTTGAAATGTATTAACAATACACTTGTGTCTTTTTGTCATTCTGAACAAGCTAACTTTAACAGAAACTGCTACATTAACACATTCTATTCATAACTTACCAGTATTCGGCACCAAATCAGGACAAAACAAAAGTCAAACAAACAAGAAGACATACCTGCAGTTTCTAGCATTATTCTTCATTGCTACTATTTTTCTTTATGGAAACCATCATTGTATAAACCTCCCCAGGGTCAAACTGGTTTCCCCTGGATCGATGCGTGTATGCGGCAGCTGCTCCAGGAGGGCTGGATCCACCAGGTGTGCCGTCATGCTGTGGCGTGCTTCCTCACCAGAGGAGACCTGTGGATAGATTGGCAGAAGGGCTTGAAAGTAAGTGATCCTTCTGTTCTCGTAGCTCCAACTGCCATTGCCCTTTGGACTTGAAGTAAAACCGGACCCAATTGTTATCATTAGCCGACATTAAGTACAATCTTATAACTGTGCTTTAGGTAAGCTGTTTTAATTTTTGCTGTTTTTCTTTTCTTTTTTTTTTCATTGAAAGGAAGGGGAATGAAATGAGTAGATATGTGTTGTATTGTTGGAATACTTTGTCCTAACACATTTCAGATATTTTTTAATTAGTGTCTCGCAATGGGTTTCTTTTTTTTTTAAATTTGAACTGCACTCTTTGTTAGTACACATCCTACAAATTTGTTGGGTTTTTTTGTAGGGAGAAAAGTGAAGAAAAAAGTCACACGCAATGTTTAAAGAATGTTAATAATCATGATAGAAATTTTTATTCCTGTGGTGATGTAATCTTTTTGGTAAGTTTGTATATTGACGTTTATTTTATGTTGACATAAACTATATTACTTTCATTTCAGGTGTTTGATCGCTATTTGTTAGATGCTGACTGGTCCGTGTGTGCTGGTAACTGGATGTGGGTGTCCAGCTCAGCCTTTGAGAAAGTGTTGCAGTGTCCCCGATGTATCTGCCCTGTACGTTATGGCAAGCGTATTGACCCAACAGGGGCCTATGTCAGGTCAGTGGTCAGTGATGTTTTGTTTGTGACTGATGAAATGCACTTTATTTTTTTGGGAGGGAGGGGGGGGGGAGGAGTAGGTTTGTAGTAGTAGTACTACTAATGATTAACCCTTTCGGATTGTGGTCACTCAGTTTTGTTACACCTTAGAATGTGGCCTCCCCGAGCAAGAGTGCTAAAAAATAAACCCTGTTTAGGGAAAAGGCTATAAAAAATTAGTTTGAAGTACAAGACCCTGGACCTTTTTACATTTTCTTGTTCAGAAATGGTTTCTGCTTATTTAAATGATTTTAAGTATTAGGTTTGGGGAAAAAGTTTGTATAAGAGTGCATGTATGTTGTGTGAAGTGTCACTTTTATCTCCACTTCCTGATTCTTTATCACCTGAATTCATGGTGGAATCCCTACAAAGTTGTAAAAGCTGAAATGTGAACCGTTTATAAATGAAGGCGAAATCCACAAGTTTGTCACTCCACACAGAAGATTTTCCTTCCTTTTTAGCCAAAGAACTGTGTTTTTAGCTCATGATTGATACACCCCCCTTGGTCGCCGGTACACCGACGAACTCCATTCAATGGATTCATTACGTAATTGCCAACGTACTGGTGATAAATATCGGAAAAGGGGGCTCTCTTGGTCGAGAGGTTACGGTGTTCGTCTTTCATTCAATAGGTCCTGGGTTCGAACCTGGATAGCAATGGAAAATTTTCTTCTCTAAAAGTGTCTCCTTTCACCTCCTTTCCTGCTCTCTAACAATGTTCTGTTGTCTGCTTTCGTCTGCCCCCGCCCCCTCACCTCCTTTGTCCTCTCCTCTGGGCTCCTGACTCTTTTTGCAGCCTTTCTACTGCTACTCCTTGGCTCCTTCTTACTGCTGTCTTTCAGTCTCACCCCTGGTCGTATGGTAGGTAAAATCTAACTCCTAGCTTTCTCCGATAAAGGCGAAAAATCTGAGGTCTAAAGAAAGGTACCAAAAGTCGGATTTTGACCATTTTGAGATAAGGGTTGTACCTTATAGGCAATTCAATTCTGAACACAGTGATTTTTTAATTTTTGAGATATCTCAGGTAGTTGTTGAGAAATTACACATTTTGTAAGGGAGGGTATAAAGATCTAATTTTGAGAAAATAAACTTTTAAGTGTAGGACACATTCAGACTTTAAAAAATACAGTAGTTTCAAAAGTATTCAAAATGAAATATTAAGAAGTCAAATCTGTGAAAACCCTTTAAACACATTGTTAAAAAGTGGTGGAACTATCATTTTTTTGTGGACTCACTTTTTGGTCAAAAAAGTGGTTTTCTGTCATTTTCAGTCTGTAGCTCAAAATGGTCTGTGGCGACTTTTGGTACTTTTCTATAGGTGCACACACAAATACGTTCTGACATACTGTGAGTGAGCACACAGTATGGATTTGTCATGGCCGCAGAGAAACAGAAAAGGAATTGTTTCATTGCTGCACCCCTGTTTTTGATGTTTTTATAATAGCTATCTTTAATTCGTTGATATGCTGTATTCTCCTAAACAGAAATAACTTAGCTATTGTCTTGTTAATTCTTCTTTTCCTTGTTTCTGCACAGCATAATTTGGATATCTTTTTCAGTTAGGATTTTAAAATTAGAATAGAAGCATGTATGCAAACTTCTTTGAATTGACATCCCTAGTGCGTTGTATTACATAGATTTCTTCAAATGTAAGTTGCAAGCATACACAATGTCTTTTGAGGGTGTAGAGCTTTATTTTTATACTTCTGCAGACGGTATGTGCCAGAGCTGAAGCGAATGCCCCTTCAGTACTTGTTTGAGCCATGGAAGGCCCCTCTGAAGTTGCAGGAAGAGGTAGATTGTATCATTGGTAAAGACTATCCAGAGCCAATGGTAGACCACAGAACAGCATCAAAGGAGTGCAAAACTAAAATGGAAGCGATAAAGAAAGTGTCCAAAGGTTTGTTTTACAGAATACAGAATATCGTAGAAGTAGAATACAGAATATCGTAGAAGTAGAATGAATACAGAATATCGTAGAAGTAGAATACAGAATATCGTAGAAGTAGAGAAATCCTGCAAAGTGGCAGGATATTCTTCTTCTGTTTTTGCAATAGATCTTTGTTCTAAATTTTGTGCCCTTGACTGTTTTAGTATACAACTAGCATGTTTGTTTTATTATAAATTGTTTTTGACACTGGTGAAATTGTAGAATGCAGTTTTTGAGAACTTTTGACCTTGCTTATGACAGCATTCTAAGCCTTTGAAAAGGTGTTCATATTTTTTGTGAGACTCCATTCTTCTGGTATTGACGGTATATAGCTTATGGCTTAGGTCTTCTGAAATTCTCGGTGAAAGGTTTTGAAAGATGAAAGAAGTCCATGTTTATAGTATGTAATCCTTGTTTTAAGGCTCCTGTAAAAGCTAGTAAGAGAAATCGCCTAATAAACTTCTCTTTTTTCTACTGAGACATGTAGTCATTTTATTAAGTTGAGTAATTTGGTCAAATGGTATATCATTTATAATTCTTTTAGATGTGCCTCACATTGCTCCTGCAAATGAGGAAGAGGTGCTCACATTGATGTGGAGTGGAAAACAGACGCGGTCAGAACTGATGGATGCGTGTACGCACAACCTTGACAAAATCTGGTGCGTATGGTCTTTATCTTTCGTTTACACCTTGTCGGTCAACTTAAAAGCCTACAAAAAATTTTTTAATCCTTATAGCTGTTAAGTACATTTGCGATAATATTGAATTTGAACGTGTGTATTCAAACAATCAAATTTGATTTTTCCATGGAAAATTTCTATTCTCATTAAAATGTTATACATTCAGGCTTCTTTTTTTAATTCTCTAAATAAAGTAAAATAGGTGTAACAAATATTTGTTGGTATAGTAATAAGAGATCATACTCGTAACTCAAAGACAATGTGGCAATGCCTTTAGTCTAGATCAAGAGAAATACGGAAGCAATTTTTAAACAGGAAATTTGTATGTCTCTCACACATTTTGGTAGTTTATAGTTACAGGTTTTTTTGGGTTTTTTTGGTCATTTTCACATTGAGAAAGTAATCAGATAAAACACTTGCACTGGAAAGTTAATAATTTCTTAATATGAATGGATTTGCAGGATATTCTTTAATAAAAAATGCAGCACTAGGCAGTGGCAGTCATGGTGAAATAATCATAGTTCGTTACTTAAAACACTAGGTTTTTCATTCTTTTGATAAGCTTGTGAAGAGTTCAAACTGAAGATCACAAAAGAGAAGCAATAATTTAACGCGGTGACCCGAGTAATCTACACGACTTTATTACCCCTTTAACTTGATGAAAGAAGGAAGTTACAGGTGCAATATTTTTCTTCTAAGTACTTGCACCTTTTATATGTATGAGGCAGCTTGGTGATACCAGGTGCTCGTCAAAAGAATGAAATCAAAGAAATCGACATTTTTCTTGGCGTTGGGCAATTTTTTTCAAATTTCCTTTATTTGCTTAAAACCTTTGATGTCCTTTAAGCTAGCATCTGCGTTTGTTGCCATTTTTTTGTCCAAAAGTTGCCACGAAAAGTGGCAAAAGTTGCCATTAATGTTCAAGCTTTCTACTTTCTGTGAAGATGTATATGGCAATATGTTGATAGAGGTAAAATTCTAAAGCACCAAAATTTCTTGAGCTCGGTTTCAAGCATCCAGAATATCATTTGTAGTCGTCCAGAGTGTAAAAACGTTAAAAATAAAGGTTTCACAGCAGAATGAAATCAAAATTAGAACAGCACGGATAAAGGACCACAAAAATTAACAAATTAGGGCGCATGTCCGCATGTCTGAAGATTGGCTGTTTTAACCCTAAACGTGTGTATTTCGAGAAAAAGTAGGCCTACAGGATATTACCTGTAAATTATGGAATTACACGCAATTAGGGAGTGCCAGTGTCAGTATTCGGTTTTGGTGGAGACAAGCTCTAACATAACACATTTATACTTTTAAAAGGGTAGGAAGAGCATCAAATTAAATAACTACGCTGCATAAACACAAAAAAAGAAAAACAAATCATCAGAACAATTTTTAGAAAAATTAAACAACAAAGAAGGAAAAATTAAAGACAGCAATATAAATAGTATGTAATGTAATTATATTCTCTGCAAGAAAATAGATACTCATGGATGTCTTAAAACTTATCGAAATACATGTCTAATATGTTATGAAGTAGCTGTGTTGTTTTGTCTTTTTTGAAAAATGCAAAAATCGCGGCCGCGATTCTCGGACCAAAAAATGCTAAAAATAGCGTGCGACAAACGCAGATGCTAGTTTAAGAAACACATTTATGTATGGATGTGACAGAAAAACATTGATTAAATATGCAAAACATGTAAATTTCCAATTTCCAAGGACACTCAAGCTTTGAAGTCACCAAACTTTGGGAGCCATTTTCGTGCTAATTTTTCTTCTCTCACCAGGCAACCCCACCTCCTTCAATCTCAAATATCTCAACTTCTATTCAAGATAGAAGAGTATTTTTTTTTTGCAACGTGCAAAACAAATTAACAAGCGTTGAGATAATACCAATAATTCTATATGCCCAAACATTGAGGAACGTCTGATTCCACCACGTTGCAACACATAATATATTGTTTTTTGGATTTGAGGGCCTAATTGGTTTTGATATTCATAGCTGAGACTTGTAGGAGCACTTTTCGAAATCATTGACATACAAATCTTTTCCAAAGGAAAAGAGCCTGATTTAATCAAAATTCTCCTGTGTGATGTTTGAGAGGGATGGAAGAAAAGAGTGCTCAAGCCAAGCTCACTTTTGAGAATGACTCATGTATGTTTTTCTTCTCTATATTTCAGCCTCTGATGGATTTTGGCTTCTTTGTCCTGCCAAACTTCTAAGTTATATCAGTGTTCAAAAGTACTTCAAGAGAGTGCTTCACCGTTTTTTTTCCAGCCCCCTTCAAAATGACATTGAGACTCCTTTTTGCTCAAAGGAAATAGCTACTGTGTTCAAATGTTCAATAACCACTTGCTTCAGAGTTATTTCAATTGTGTGGAGCCTTGACTTGAATGCGATATTGCATTGCATGGTTTTAATATAGTGCTTTATTGACGTTTTGTGTGCCTTGCGCACCATGCTCTTTCAGGCTTTTCACTGTATTAGATGGGCAGCGAAAGATAGTTATATTCTTTTTTTTTTCACTGAACTTTGTGTAAAGACTGAAATGATTTAAGATATTTTGTCTTAACAGAGGTGAGATAATATTTTCGAAAACATTTTCTGTCTTTCTGTCTTTAACATGGCTTTGAGGTATTCAGGTGCCTTTCCATCACTTTAATACTCCTTTGACATTTTGGCAAGCACATAAAGAAGTTAATGGCATTTTTTTCATAGGTCGTCTCTTCCCCTATCCTCCCATTCTACCATAGACTTAGAATTGGTAATCTCAATGTACCTGTTTCAGGAAGTTTATTTCAGGAAAAATGGATTGTTTGACTCTTCCTTGAACTTCAAGTTACAATATATTAGGTATCTATAGTACTTTTACTTTTAGTCAGAAGCTCGCCCATTTTCTTGGTCTGAGTGGGCGTGTTTTGCTCCTAAAAGTGCTCATATCAGTATTGTGACTGGAAAAATAGTGAAAAACTGAATTAAATTTTTAGACTCTATTAACTCTTTTTATCCGGGCTACGAGTATACTTGTAACGAGGACCAGTCCGGGCTACGAGTATTCTCGGAACAGCGATACGGTCACGTCAAAGAAGCTAGTTCTGCTTGTAATTACCAAAATACGCAAGTACGGCGTTGCTAGCTCTGCCTGAATATTTTAATTTTCCAATGAACAGTGGTTTCTTTGTTTTTGATGGGTGTAGAAGCTTGAAAGTTGTCTCGAAAACGCACATTCATGACCGACGAAGTACTTTTTGAAGTGGCGCTGGGTTGTGAGGGGGAATGATACTAATTTGATGAAAATGGCTCTGAAATAAATGCCGTAAATTCCGTTTTGGATAATAAGAAACAGGACTTAGACTCATCTAATAGCGATTCCGATCATGGTGAAGGGGTCGGTGCTGGAATTCGTGCTCGATGGGTAGAGCTAGATCTAGATCTATAAAATCCAGAGGGACGTCGTGGGCGCGGCAATCAGGGTCAAGTTCGAGGGTGGAATACACCTCAAAATCTACATTGTGCTATTGGTGTATTTCCTAACCACATACATTTACAAAAACTACATTCAGTTTCTAACATAACTGCCAAATTTCCTTAAAACCTTAGAGTAAATGTAAGAAATATAGCACTTTGAACTATACGCACTGACTTCCGACTCATACGGCGCGGCGGCCCCAGGACGGGTACAGAGTCCGTGGCGGTACGACTAGGATAAAAAGAGTTAAGATGATGTTCGAAAGGCTGTCCTCAAATGTATTACTACCTCAAATAATGATCAATGTCATGATCAGGCTAACGTTATTTCGTTAATCATGTGAACAACCGAGTTTTTGTACGGTTGAATGGATTTTATTATCCATTATAATGATATTAAAGTGTGTTACAAACTTTATAAGATCTCTGAAAAGTATGATAAAAATGGCGCTTGTTCCTGGTCCTTCTCTATCATCAAACTGTGTATATAGTAAAAGCAAAATATGAGGGACATGAGGCACCCATGTAGGGCTCTTGAAGTAAGAATTGATGTCACTTTCACTGCTGCAAAGTATGTTGGTTGGAGCAATACTATTGTATGCATGTGCTGCACTTACTTTTCAATCAAGAGCTCACCTGCGCAAAGTACCCTGTTGTTTGTGGATGGTTCTTGTTGTCTGTTTGTTATTAAAGAAAGCTTTTATTTGATAATAACTATGATAATAATAATGAATTATTTCAATGAGCTTCACCTTTTTTGTATATGTTGTATATATACAAAAGCAAGCAGTGGAATATTGCATTAAAAAGATGGACTTTAATGATTTTGTTGTAATGCAGGCAATTGTTCAAACGGACTTTTGTTTTTCGTGTTTTTGGATTTGGTTTTCCCTGTGTGGTTTATTGTACAACATTGTCTTTTCCTTTTTTGTTTTAATACAAACTCTAAGTATTCTTTCTGGAGTGCAGTGCAGTGCTGTGCATCTTTTGTCTTTTGAATTATGAGGTAGTGAAAGCCTTATGTTGTTGTAGGTTTCATATAGAGCTTGATTTGTCAGGGCCCATGTTCATCTAATTCTCACTGTTGTTTACTTTATTATTGTAGCTCTCTGGGACATTTTAGTATTATTCTAGAAAAAATGTATCAGTATACAAAAATACAGAAAATAATCTCTTTGTTTGTGATATATAGCTGCTTTGTGTTATTTGACTCTTATGTGCAGGTTTCTGCTCGTAGTTGTGTTTATGTATTTATCTTTATGTCCTTCTGATTAATGTATGTAGGCTTGTTTTGTTTTTTTGTTGTTGTTTTTTTCATAATGCTTCATTTGTAGAAACTCATCATTAATTGGAAAGGGAGAAGATCGCTCAGTATGAATATATAATCTTTTTAAAAAAAGCAGTTGGGTTGCTTTTAAGATGATGGACTATGGTCAGTCGTTGAGATCCCCGTTCTAGACGTTTTGGGTAGAAGGATCACCTGTTATCATTACTACGATTTATGTCATAATATTTGTTCATTGTCTTTTTAACTATTCTTTTCTCCAATCTGTCTCACATTCCCTACCCCCCCCCCCCCCCCTCTTTCATTTCATTTTAACCCCTAATTATCATTCCATCCCTCTGGTGACAACAATTTTGAATATCTCTATCAAAGTGGTAGGTAATGGAATCTATGCCAATAGGAAAATTGACTCTCAATAAATTTTCTTATGTCGGTTCAGTTTATGAATAAGAAAACCTCCTTTTTATTAGTCTTTTCTTTTTTTTCAGTTTTAAAAGTGATTTTCACATTTTTTACTGCAAGCATATTTTTTTTGTTCCTTTGAATAATAATTTGTAGAGTAAAACTAATTCATGTTATTGATGAACATTTTTTACGAAAACTTATGGTTATTATTGTTTTTAGTGTCATTTTTGTTTTAAATTGTGAAATGATTTCTTATGAATTAGATCATACATATTTTCTTGATCCAATAGAAGAGGAAAGTCCAGACGTCTACAGACTGAACTTTTTTATTTTAGTAGCATTTCCTTTTATCTTTTGATTGAATACATATACAATAGTCTTCATCTAAGATCCTGATGCTTAGGAGCAAGGAAAATGGGGGATCAAAGGTGAACAAGATAGTAATCAAATCATCAGGAGGGAAGAATCCATGGCAGGACATGGTCCGACCCGCAATCAGTAAAATAGTCACCCCTTACTTTGAAATGAACTGCCATGACGCCCGAGTGTCTATTCAGAGGTCAAATTTTGTTGTTATTAGTGGAAGATTTGTGACGTAATGGACAGTACAGTAGTAGTAAAATTTTTCAGTTCTTGGTTTATCAACTGTGCCTGCTCGTGGGGTTTTTTTTCCAGTTAATTATGATCTGAAATGGGAGGACGTTAGATGAATGTTATAATATTCCAGAGCAGGATCTTATGGATGACTTTTATGCAGTAAACATTCTGTTTTCTTAAAGCTGTGGGATTTTAAACGAAATGGGATCATAGGCGGTGGGATCTTAGGCATTGACTACAATACAAGATCTGTTGTTAGTACTTGTATTGCATCACTCAATTGCGTACTTGGTTATCAGTGACCTCCTAATCTTTTGCATCATTGAAATACAAACTTAGACCTTATGGAGTGGGGTTTTTTTTTCTAATTCTGAAAACTTTGTGGTAGGTCAGATCTCTGTGCTTTTTAAAAACATGACTGTTGGTTTACTGGAATTTAATTCATTGTTTATTTTGTGGAATTTTTATGAGTGATTATCTGGTATTATTTTCTGTGATTTGGATTGCATAGTGTTTCTATATATGGACTGCAAAAACATATTTATGTTCTTCACTATTTAAAGAAAGAACCTTTCATTTTTTGTGATAGTCCTTTTTTGTCTTTTGAATTGGACTTTTGGTTAATTTTCTTAGAAATGTCTGTTAAAATTCTTCATTCAAAGAAATAAGATTTAAAGATTATTGTTTTCTTTATATTCTAAGCTACTCTCTTATGTTTACGTGATGTGAAAATGAATGTTAACAGATTATGGGTTTGTTTTGGTCAGAGTATGTGTACAACTGAGTCATTATTAGTTGTGTCTGAGAATGAAAGAATACTGAGAAACTTGTTCAGAGGAGAAAGGAATTACCAAGAGTTTATTCCACATACGGCCGGCCCAGAATTGAAACAGGTGCAACTTTGCACATGGAGCAAAATGCGCATCCTTCATGCTTGCATTGACAAGTGCTCATTGTCACCCGTACCTCTGGACAAAATGGGGACAATAAGTTCATAATTGTGTATGCATGTGAGTGTAAATTGTCTTGGGTAGGGGAGAGGGTGTTTGTAGAAAGGATTTTGTTTAGTGGTTCTTGTTTCATGACTATGAAAAGTATATTGATGATGTTCTAATCCTCTTGTCTGTAGATCTATTGTTATTGTATTGCGTTGTGCTCATATTTTGTACTTGTGGCATATATATATATATATATCAACCCATAGTTTTCCTTGTTTAGGTCTCTGAAATTGTATGTGAAGATTTGCTGCTCAGATCATGAAAATACAGCATTCCATTGAAAAAAAAGTCAATATTGTTTACATTAAATAAATTGTAATAACTTTTGTTTCTTGCTATTTCCTTTTTTCCCCATCTGTTGTCCTTCAGATGTCTTTGAATAGTTTCACACTTTCATCATATGACCTGTTTTTTTACTATATAATTTAGATGTACAAATACTCTGTCACTTCTTCTAAATGCTCTTAGAAAAGCACTAGATAGGCCTAGAATCAGTGGCAACGTCGGGGATTGTGTTATGTTCTGTGAACAGGCTGGAATAAAAAAGTGTAAACAGTAGAACATGACTATAGTGGCGCCCACTGTAGCGGGA